TTTCGCATCGAGTCGCGACCGTGAAAAAAAATAAATGATTGGAGAAGCCGCCGCCTCAGTATCTAGAAACGCGAATACTTAGCCGATGAGACTTTTGAAAAATTGAAAAGTATTCCGCGTCGCTGCTATGGAACTCTTCGCCTTATACCTCTAGCTGTATGGAAAGCTAGAACATTTGTATTGGTGAAAGTAAGCGGTACGTCATTTTATTGTGAGAAGGACGTCGTTTTTTTTCGTTTCGTGCGTAGGAACTTGTTTTAGTTTGTCTTTTCCATCTGTTCGTCGCTCAAAATCCAAAAAGGAGGCATTCAGAAACAATATTGATGATACTAGAAGTAAAGTTTCGCTCATATAATAGGGACAATGAGTTTGACCTTTCCTAGTGTTCGATAGAGATTGTATCGATGCCCGCTTCTCTTTCTTCTTCCTTCGTATGGATATGTGAAATTTATTGAAAAGCTACTCACAGTGCTAGACCTAAATTACGGATTTCAGGAATATTCTCAAAAGTGTTAGGCATTTCAAGAACACAAAGTATTTTGTATTTTGTTATTTTCTATCATTTGTTACGATAGTCAGTTTTTGTCATTTTCAGATATGGCTTCCTATTGATAACATATATCTGGAATCATGTTGTATAGATTCTAAGAGGGTGTTCTGTATCTATAAGTCGGTTTAAATTGAGTTTGTTTCCTGTGTTTGTGTGTAGATATTTAAGATTATTCCATCGACAAATTATTTATGAGAGAACCTCTTGAATCCTAGTAATCCCGTCTCGTTTAGGAGGTCAATTTTCTTTGTGTGATATTTAACTTTTCAGACGGTTATATCCCGTTTTCAAGTTCCAATGTACAACGAGAATTCGGCGGAAAAGTTATTGATAAAAGTTTTCTACTTCGGTTAATGTTTGATTATAAATTAGTTTTATTTTTTCTGGAGTGGTTTTCATCGTTTAGGTTAGTTCTTCAGGATGTTCCAACCATAGTAATATTTTGGGGGTAGGTGGAAAGTTTGTTTTCGCAGCTTTACCGCAAAACTCTCTTCTTCCTGCTTGGTAAAAGTATTATCCAATTATTTAAGGTTTTACTGGAAAGATTTTTAAAAATGCATCGAGTCTTCAAGGAGAAAACATGAAAGTTTTTCTAGGATTTGGGTGTCTCGAGGCACTCCTGCAATTCCTATCCCATTTTCGTGCAAATTTACAATAACGCTGGCTCGACAAGTATACAGATGAATAACTCTCAAATAGAAATGATTATGATATCAAAAACCGTAGGTTTGTTTACTTATGATTATTAACGTTTCCGTGAGTTTTTCGTTTAGGTATGAAATAGTGATACATCG